TCGGTGGTGTATCGACCGCAGCGTCTGACAGTGGCCGCTGAGTGGTGACCATGTCATGAAACCGTACAGCAGTGCCTCCATTGCCTCCGCCTGGAGCGGGCGGATCTTGAGTCGGAATGGCGCTTGCGGTCTGTCGAAGAGCTCCCGACCATATCGCCTGAGGCACGCCCACGCTCCTCTGCTCCTGTAGTTGATCTCCCGGGTGAGGTCGCCATGTTCGTTGACGAGGCCACCGAGGTACCGGAACTCGGTCGTCTGGGTGTAGTTCTGTCCCGCGGCTTCGATGGTCAGTGGTGGAGGGGGGGCGGGCTGTGATACTGTAGTCGGCTTGTCCTTTGCGCGCATCAGGAGCGTCTCCGTCTTCTTCTCCGACACCGTTAGTCCGAACTCCCCGAACACCTCAACGATGATGGTCATCATTCTCGCCAGTCCTTCTGCAGACCTCGATACGACGCCGGCATCATCGGCATACAGCANCGCCCGGGTCGAAACCCGCACTGTTCCTCCGGGAGGATATTGTTGGCTTCGCAGAAGGCGCTTAGACGGTTGGTGATGATCTTGATGGGGACCTTGCCTATGTGAGATAGTAGCGAAATCCCCCTGTAGTTGTTACAGTTGGACCGGTCACCCTTCTTGTACAGCACCTTAATGGTTGCATCCTTCCACTCTCGCGGAATATCTCCTCCGTTCCACACCTTGACGAGGATGGTATGGAGGTGTCCCAGGACGAAGGGTTCGTCGTCATCGATCTTGAGCAACTCGGCAGGGAGGGAGTCATGGCCGGGTGCCTTCCAGTTCTTGAGGCCTTTCGTTGCCCGTGCCACCTCCTCGAGTTCTGGCACATCTCCCAACCGTTGAGTGTCACGTGTCGCTGGCCGCTGCGTCACTCGTTCGATGATGTCTGGGTTCAGGGTGGGGGATTTCGTGTTGAGTAGGGTGCTGAAGAATCTCGCCCACCGCTGGAGGATGTCGTCCCTGTTCCGGAGCAACACGCCGTCCTCATCCGCGACGAACTGCTGTCCCCGCGCTTGTCTCCCGCTGAGGCCCACTGATCTCTTGAGGTGTTGGTACAGTCCTCGCATGTCGCGATCTTTGTAGGTTTCTTCGAGCTCAGTCACATATCCGTCCAGGTGGGCATAAATGCCCGTTTCGACTGCTGTAGTCACCTCCCTTACACGCTGCTTTGAGAGCCCTCCACGTCGTTGAGTTCCAGTTGCCCCTCATCGTCCGGCGCGCTTTCCGACGTTTGGTAAGGGCCTGCTCCAGCGCTGCTCGCGTCTCCGGGGTGTCACACCACTCCTGCGTGCGGCGTCTCCGCGGTTCCTCCCCCAGGGTCGTCCGCGCTGCGTCGAGGAGTGCATTGGTGAAGTCGGTCGCCAATTCCGCGGCGGTGGTTGTTCGCTCGTCCAGTCGTGTGTCGAGGTTGAGGAGGAACCGATTAGTCACCGCACACCATGCTGCTTCGAACTGCAATTCCCGACGGTTGAATTGCTTCTGTTTCGGTTTAGTCCGGACTGCACGGTTGTGGGGAAGCCTGCCACCGAGGTTGACGGTGGCTACTACCTATAACACAATGTATTGTATCTGGTATACAGTACCATGTATCTGTGGGTATGACCCGGTACCCACCGTCGCTCCCCCAAAGTGTTCTGATTCTAGTATGGGGCCATTATTATAAAGGATTTACTATTGGATGCATAATATATTGCATTTAGGTTAGTGGTGGCCATGTGCGGGGCTGTACCATTTCCCCCATTGATTGCCCTGACCATTCGTCTTGTCGATTAATAAACGTGCAAAGCACGAGGAATAGTGGCCCATCCATCCATGTGGTGTGGGCCGAGAGTGTGGCCCTTACACCCTGGACAATACTTCGGCTAATGATCGAGTATTGATTGGTCTACCAATATATATGGTTGAAATTTCGATAGTCGATACGTATTTACTATGTATTCAATATATGTATGTGATGGTTCCGGGTGCATCGATATGTATTGTGAGCAACGATAGATTGAAACAAAAGACGCAACACATTTTTGCTCCCGCGATAGGATAAATTACAAGCCTTCGGTAGTATCGCTTCGACCAGCATGCTTTCAGTTGTTCGATGAATATTGCAAGGTACGATATGCTTTTACCGAATTCGATTGATACACCTTGGAGCAACAATACGTTGATGATCGTAGCGATCAATATCTATCTATCGTTCAACCACTAGATGTTGATACATATCGTACGCTGTAACTACTTTCAACGCGAAAGAAAACATGCCCCCAAAACCTTTTCGCGCTCCTCGCGAAAATCAATTCATCCATGAATGAGCAGAGTTACTCTGAACGCCATGGTTGACGAATCAAAACACCAAACGAACGGACGTATCGATTGCCTGGCACGCATATCGATCGATACTTTCCGTCTGCATTGAGCCATTCGATATCAATTGATACCATTTCCACTACTAACACAACGCTTGAACCAATACATGTTGATCGATTTTCTCCCAATATGTTGAACCAAACGATATCATCAGTTGATACCAATTGTAGATACATATATCTTGGTAGCAACATGTAGAGAGTGAGGTCCCCGCAGTTTTCTGATTGGCCAATATTTTTAAGGACCGTTCCAAAGAAAGGGCAAAAATCCCTGGTCCTCCGATGACGTCATCCACGGTCGGGAAGTCGCCTTTCGGCGAAATTCAAATTTTGAATTTTGGCCGTGGATGGCTGATTGATCACCCAAAAGCTCGTACTAGCGACAACAGCCGACCACATGTACGTGCCACAATCGTATCGAGCCACAAACAAACTCACTCCAACAATGAGCCTCCATCAACCCCCCGTCAGAAGCTTGGATTAGCGTCTTGGTTTTGAGTGTCATGCACCTCTGCACCTTCGAACCACCGCACAGCAACAGAGTAGGCTACCTCTCTTCTATCTCCTGGGACCATTGATTGATTGTCATCGGAAGAGACTCGTAACCAACATAACCCGCAGCCCGCAGTTTTCTGATTGGCCAATTTTTTTAAAGACCGTTCCAAATAAAGGGCAAAAAATCCCTGGTCGTCCGATGTCGGCATCCACGTCGACGAAGCCGCATGATTCAAAATTTACAAATTTTCAAATCTGCCATGCATGATGAGCAATGATGAGGATTGCGTCGAGAGAGAGAAAAGGTCCCCGCAGTTTTCTGATTGGCCAATTTTTTTAAGGACCGTTCCAAAGAAAGGGCAAAAATCCCTGGTCCTCCGATGACGTCATCCACGGTCGGGAAGTCGCCTTTCGGCGAAATTCAAAATTTTGAATTTTGGCCGTGGATGGCTGATTGATCACCCAAAAACTCGTACTAGCAGCCGACCTTTGCTCTCTCTCTCTCGGAATTTATTCAAAAGATGTAATTCTTGAAGTGGAAGACATTCTCCCGTTGTATTGAACCCATCAATACATATCGATTCCAATTTTTAGTATGTGTTGATTGGAGCAATATGCATTAAATATGATGTTATCCAGGGTGTGATTACACACACGTGGTTTTGAAAACAACGCCGGCAGTGCAACAAGGAGGAAAGTCCAGGTAAAAATATGTAGTCTAGACTATTATTGATCTCAATCTTGTGAAACAACAGTGAGTCTGCTGTACGGACATATATATTTTTGTAGAGAGATGTGTTACAGACTGATGATGATGGAGGCGATAGCAGGAAACGTATCCCTACGTTTTTCCGTCGTGTCGCTAACTACCCCCCTCCACCCTCGCAGTCCCCCCGAAGTGAGGTCGTTGTAGTAAGTCATTCGTCTGTTCGGTCGCGTTCTTTCTGTCTTTCGTTCTTTCAACTTTTCTTGACGCGGGGTCAATCGTCTGAATCTCGGTTAATTTTCTTTATCGTTTGGCTGGACAAAAACGAATCGCGCTTGGAGGGCTTTTCTGGGGTTGCTTTCTAGAAAGAAAGGTGTGTACCTTTTGGGGGGTATTTACTTGGCTTGTGAACACGGAAGGAAGGCGTCCGCGTCAGTTGGATCAGCACAGACATTAACTGGCGACCGGAAAGGTTTTTAATGTGAAGGCAACAACACCGAGGTACAGCAGTACAGTGCATAATAATGTCTCGGAGACCAAGCTATCATGACGGCTTTTTCCTCTACATATCGCGAAAAGTTCCCTGAACCTAGCCGGGCGGCTTGGCTCTATTTCTCCACATTATTTTTTGGAGGCATCTGATGGACCGCCGGTAGATGAGAGGAATGTTGTCCGTACCAACACGCGGTTACATGTCATGTACAGCTGCAGCAGCAGGCCGCTCGCTACTTCTCTGCGCGTGCAAAAAGCGGCCCGCAGGACACAAACAAGGCGGGGCGGGTTGTGAACAATGTGTATACCCCCTATCGTACATTCTGTCGGCCTCCCTGGTTCTTAGAAAAAAAATCCTTAAAGCGGGTATTTTCCTTAATGCGAGCGTCCTTAAAGCGGGGTCGACTGTAAACGGCTGATGTAGGGAGGAAACAGCAAGGCCGGTCATCGTAGAGATAGGGCAGAACGTATTTTCCTCGAAGGAAACGTCGTTGGTTGGCTCTCTGTTTTTGGTGTTTTATGATATCATGCTTCTTCACAGGGACTGAAATCCCATCAACTTTTGGAAGAGAACCGAGGCTGTGAGGTCCAGGTGATTTCATGAGTGTCGGGAGGGGCCGCAGATTTCCAAAAGCTCGACCTTCGTCAAAAATGCATGGCAGCAAGAGAGGCCTGTTGCCGACTATTTTGACAGTACAACGTGTGACCGCTTCGGACCATTCGGCCGAAAAACGGCCGAAGTCAGCCGCCCAAGGACTTTATTGTCGTGCCATACGCTGCGTGCAGCGGAGCGCATGCTGTGGAGGGCTGCTCCGGAGGGACGGCAACGAACGGAAAAAAATCCTCACGACACATACTTTGTAGCTGTTCAGCAGAGAACATGTGCTCAATCAACCCTTCCTTCTCGTCTTAGAAAGAAGGAAGAAGCTCGGCCAGCGATGGCTGTGGTGGTACGGTCAATGCTGCTCACGCCTGCGGCAGACATGAAACAAAGGGTTCAATCACACAGACAACAACCACGAGGACCGCGGCCACGGCTAGACTTGCGATGGCCACACAAAAAAAACGGTTAACTCGAAAAAAAAAATTAGCTACGCCTTTCATCCTAGACCAGAATTTATTTCGTGAGAAAAAAACTCACTCTGCCGGGACTCGAACCCATGACCTGGTCCTTAGCAGGCTGCAAGGTTTCCCCACTAGACCACAGGGGCGACCGGTGAGATATCAAACCCCAGAGCAACAAGTTTTCTTCTCTGCTGGCCGCGCGGCCACACAAGTGTTGCTATGGGGCCCTGAGAGCCATTGCCTACATATCCCGGCGGGACTAGCCGCAGACGTTTCGAGTTATACTGATGTAAAAAGGATCGATTGGCAGACATTCGACACAAAAGTACACCATTCATTTTGACCTGCAGTGAAGAACGAGGATACAACAATTTCGATAGTTGTTCCCAAAAACATGATGCCCGAGAGTGGAACAAAACGGTGACGGTACTGCTACCTGTAGGTATGCCACAACCACGACCTGTGCAACTGAGACTGCGCTCAAACTAGAAACGACATCATTGAGTGGTAGACTCGTAAGTGCTGTTACAATTACCATGGCAAAACCTTCGGCGGGTAGCACTTCAAAACAAATTATCTACGAAATGCAACTTCACTACTGCTCTGGCGCCTCCTCAGCCGATTCCGATTCTGACCTATCATTATCAGCACCTTCTTCAGCAGGAGGAAGCTCTTGGGGTCGCCTTGAAGAAATGGCTTCAGGCACGTCGAACCTGTGTTTGCACAAGCGTTGCGTAGTTGTGCGTACAGTTTTCGAATATATTTATCTTGCCGCCCTGGGTTGGGATTCTCGCTCATGTTCTGTCTGGCGTTGAACTCCGGGGATGAAAAGTCTCGTTCAATGTCTACTCGTCGAGGCTACGGCAGGCTAGACCACCAAAAGGGCCTAGATCACCAAAAGGAGTGGGGAATAGCCAGAGCCAGCATGGTTCTTACCCGCATCTACGACACATACGGATCTATGATACAACTATTATGGTCGTACAGTTCTCGTGCAAAGGGCAACATAACAGCATAACAGCACCTCAAAAGGAGTTCTAAAATCTACTTGTGCTCAATTCAACTGATATAGACCCGTCGGTTCCAGATGGTCATTTATGTCTACGATAAGGCACTTGTTCCCTTGAGGGCCACACACATGGAACTCCCATCACACCGTACAACGACGTAACAAACGTCCTACACCCATCTGGTGACGCGGCAACCCAAAAGCAACAGAGGTCGTTACCTGGACGAGTACGGCACCCTGGGGAGCGCTGAGCCATCCATCGTAGCCCGCGACAACCTTTCTTCAAAGTTATGCGCCCAGGTTTGTAGTCCGGCTTCTCCGCTCTTCCATCGGAGGTGCAGGACGCACGCTGGAGCTAAAATGTTGGAGTCTTCGAGGCTTTGGGTGCTATCTTGAGGCAACACTCGGGTTGGTGGCGCCATGAAGAGCTCGAAGTTTTGGCACAACTGTCCATCAACTCCAGCTTCTATGGAAAGGACTTGTCCAAAAACCTGATAAATGGTCTGAAACCGCGGGTATGCAGGAAGAATTGATGGCATGTTTGAAGTCTTGATAGTATGTGCTACAGTAAAAAAATATTTGATGAAGCAGCAACCTCTAACTTTCGTGCTCGTCGGGGGCTCTGTCAGCTGTGTTCCACAGACGTCGTTCTGTGGAGATAGCCTTCAACAAGGGCGACATCGCCCGAAAGTCTGTCGAGAACAATTTCCTCTTTTTCACGAGGCGTCGACAAGAAATGTCCCATTTGGGGGGGGGGAAAGGGGTGGGTTCGAATCCTGCCACCCACCATTTTTTAAATGAACCCAACGGTGGTGGGAGACAAAAAAACAGCATGTCGAGTTTGTGAAACTTCTGATGACATGGTGGGCGTAGCGCACGCACCGCGGCAATATTTTGTAAGAGTGAATCGAGTCGCCGCCAGCCGGTCGGGTTACCCCTGGAAGCCTTGTTAGCGTCGAGCAAAACAAGAACAAGGCTCCTACAAAGGGTGGACGATTGAGTGGATGACCGTTAGAAAATATGATATCTTCCCAACGCCTGACTAGGATGGTTCCCTTTTCATTTGCAAAATACCCTAGATAACAATGCTACGCCGCTCTTTCCTGTGTGTATTGAACCAATGGCGGTGTGAGCACGTTGTCTCGGGTGTATTTGACAAGAAATATAGTGTTTACTCCAACCTCTCACCTCCAAACTTTCCTTGGAATTGAAGCGGGCCTGCAAATACACTCCTCCAGGTAGGCGTATCCGGCAAAGAACGTAGGGATATGATTTGGCAGTGCGCAACAATCTGAGCTTTTTCGCTGCCCTGGTTTCGAACCGCTCCACCTCGTCGTTGCCCATCCTTTCTCTCCACAGCTGCGCCACAAGCTCAAGTTCACGCTGTTCTGCATCTGCCTCCCCCTGTTCTCCATCTCTCTCCTGCTCCTCCGTTTCTGCAGACGCCTGGTGCTGCTGTTGAGGCAACAAAATAGTTACCTGCCGTTCTTCAAGTGTTGAGAAGCGTTGCTGCCGCTTCGCCTGGCTTTCAGAAAGATGCGCCAACCCTTGCTCTGCTCGCTCTTGCAAGCGCGTGCGCGATTTCCGAGAAAAGGCGGTCGTGAAGGGGTTGAAACCTGACGACGGAACGATGGGAGGGTTCTCTTGAGACGTTCGGACACATGCGTAGACACCGGTCGTGATGCACAACGAGACAAGTGGTGGATCAAGCAAGCGGAGGCATCTGCCAACGGGTTCGGATTCCGAGGGTGCTCAGGCACACTTACATGCATGGCTTTGTCCGCAAACCTGTTTGAAAACTTGCCGAAATCATGCAGAGCCCACGTGTACTTCATGTTGATGTTGCAACTCCTTCGCCGCTTGCTGGAGGCAGAAAGTTGTGGTGGGCAAGCTTGGGCTACAGAACTAAAACAGCTCCCGGTGCTCCCATTGCCATGCTTACCTGCGGGTGTCGTCCGTACTGGTACTCACCAGATGCTTCACGAGGTTCAGCTTCCGCGGCTGGCTTCCCGCGTTCGCTCTTGTGGAGACGTCGCGCTGATAGCAAATCTAGCGCCTCCCTCACGTCGGTCTCAATGGGGGCACCTGTGCGGGCCTGAAAACATGGCCCGTCGCCGGTACCTGCAGAAGCAAACCCGGAAATGTGCGATATTATCGAACCACTTCGTGGTGGATTTGCTTTCTGCTCCCTTTCACCCTACCATGTGGTAGGGTTTTCGGCGGTACGACCCGGCGTTCATTTCTCTCCGTGTGCATTTAGAAACTTCCTCTAAACTCTGTACTCTGTATTAGGGCGTCACAGCACTGCTAAATAATGATAAGATTTCGGCTTGTCTTGCTTGTTTTTCTACTGGAGCTAGTGAGTGTGCGTATTGCAGTGAGAGGGTTCCGTCCGTTCGTGATTGAGCTAGCATTAATAAGGAGATGTTACCGTTTGATTTACTTCGCTCGCTGTGGTACCTGGATTTAAATCGAAGCCCAAGGCCGACATGAAGGAGATGCCCCCATCGACGCTACCGACCCTCTCCCAGACGACCTTGTTGAGAAGTCGTATCTTCCGGTACTTCGGGTTCTCTGGTTCGTTGAACAGGTTCTCTGCAATATTGGTCAAGCTGTCGAGCGTACGATTGAGAGCCCTCAGATCTTTCGCGTGATGGCTCACGATTTGGTCGAAAGCCCCCTGGAGATTGGAAGCAAGCCCACCAATGAAGCACCCGAGGAGAGGAATGACGTAGTATCGCCATGTTTTCGTGCAAACTGCCATCTTTAGATCAAATGGGGCTCCTCGAGCGTGAATCAGCAACGCGTTTTCAAGCGAGCTTTCCTTTCGTCTCCTGTTTGCCCACACTTCGTGGCGAACATTGATACTTGAACGCGCGATGCGGGTGCCATTGGTGCAACATCCCAAAATCCCTGTGTTATCTCGCCGCATCTGCTTCCCGAAACGCAACATAGTCTACCACATTTTCCTATCAGCTATTGAGCTTTTGAACCAACACGAAGCACGCAAGGCTCGTCACACACAATTGCTTCGATCAGATCACGGTAGGGTCATGAGCGATCCTCAGTTTACCGGAGCGATTGCCTACTACCGAGAGAAGCTGAAACAGGTGTGTCACAATGTGTTTAGAGAGGAATCCTCGACAGGTCGACACATGATGTCTCTGTAGGGGTTTGCACGCCGCGAGAGGTTGCGCTTGTGGTGAAGGCGTTGGTTGACTGTTGGGAGCGCTCGACCCACAGCTGCATGTTGATGAAGGCCAGAGCGATAATTGGTGTAGCTTCTGACTGCCCTTTGAAGGTTTACATTGGACGCCTTCCTTGTTTGCTGCCGCCGTTCGCTGCCACGTCCAGAATCCTTCAAATCCGGCCCATCACCACAATATTGCACCTCTTCTCTTTGAAGGAGGAAACGTCAGGGCCGCGATGAGCCACTATCGCAGAGCGTTTCAGCTGAACCCCAAGGACATCAACTCTAAGAACGACCTGGCTGTCATTCTTTGGCAGATGGGCAAATGGGAAGCTGCGTTGGCCGCGTTGTGCCAAGTTTTGATGGCCAACAGCGAGCACTACGAAGCGAACGTAAACCTTGCTGCGGTTTATTTCAAGCAAGGAGAGTATAAACTTGCTTTGAGACATGGACGGAAAGCTACGCAGATCCGACCTACCAGTCCCAAAGCGCACCGCGTTCTAGGACAAATTTTGGATCAAATGGGGAACGTCAAAATGTCGCTTCATCACCGGAAGATTGCGGTACGACGAGGGCCGGGGGGTGGCAAGTGCCACCAGCACGACACTCACACCTACAAGAAAATCGGCGCACAGCTTGTCACGCTCGGACAAGGGGAGCGAGAAAACAGCCACGCCTTTGTGGACTGCTATAGAGCAATGGCAGGGAAACAAATTGAGCTTGCGACGTCAGAAAGGACGAACGAGTGTTTGCGCAAGTGCCGATGCTGATGGTGGGCCGGCCGACGTAGTGTATCAAGCTATGTACCACATGGTTACAGCGCCGTAACTCCTAATGAGGCTTGTAGCTCAGAGCATAGCCTAAGTTGTGACACCCTCTTCTTTCAGAAGGTGGGCAAGAGAAAGCATTAATTTATCTGTAGCTTGTGTCACGAACGGTGCAATACCGATATCAAGCCTGAAAAGGCAGAGATGCCAGTAACTTCATAAAGGGACATGTTACCAAACAAACTCTTCCTGGCCAACACTTGAAACAAAATAAAAGAGCAAAATTTTGGCCGAAGCAATATCGAACACAATCATGTTTTGTCAAACTTTTTTTCACTCTCAACGTTTCTGTACATGCACTATAATTCGCATAATTTCACCTAAACGCACCCAGACCTCGCTCTTGGCTAGCTGGACCAAAGCTCAAGTTCAACTCTTCAAGAAAAGAGGTGCTGTTGTGCACAAACGATCCCCCAAGAACAACATGCCCGGACGGCAGAGAAACGTTGAGCTCGGCAACCTTGCAGGCTTCCTCATACGTCACTCCCCCTACCATGAACACGATGACCTGTAACGTGCGGGCAGGGGAAGAAGTCGCGCAGAAAGAGGAACAGAACGATAGTCAATAACAGCCCAGCACATGATGAATCAGTCCTGGTCAAAGCACTTGCCCTGACCGGCGACAAACAGCAACCAAGCCGAGGCGTATTCAAACGCTCATCGACAAATTCCATTGTATGCAGCCGTATGACCACCTACACGTGACAATTAACCCATGTGTAATCGAACAGGCCCGGACTCAAATCGCTTCTTCGACAAGACCTTTGACTCGCTCCCACCTCCTGGGATTTGCCACCAGACGACCCGACAGCAGGGTAGACGCTATCCTTGAGCTTCCCTTTGAGAGCTGCTTCGACCGCAGTCATCATCAGCGGCACGTGCTGAGCGTACACGTTCTCGACCCCCTGGTCAAAATGTTCCCAATTAACAGTCCGCGACATGAACACAGCAATTGGCAAGGAAAATGTCGAAACGTGACCAAATACTTGCACTGCGCCCTCACCACGAAAGTGCTGAGGCCTTCCGTTGCATGCCTCAGCGAAATTCCCAACTTTGCTAAACATGTAGTTTCCTACTCGCAGATGAGAGTTGGCATACCTGGAGGGTCGTGGTGATCTGTTTGCCCAGTTTTGACATGAGGTTGTCTTGACCGAAGAGGCCCGGTCCCCGTACTGCGTTTCCTGCGAAACACAGTCAGTTGTCGCATTGTCAGAGGCTGGTGGAACTCGCAGCGGCAAAAAACTCCCAAGACTCTTTATTTTTGCGACTTGGGCTGCAACAATCAGAGAAGAGAAAACACAGACGCGTGGATGGATATTTCAAAGCCACACCTGAGTATTGCAAGAGAGCATCCAGTAGGTCCACCTTCTCCGGAGTTAGCCCGGATTCAAGGAGACGCGACTTCAGCGCGCGAAGGTTACCCATATCCTCGTAGCGAAGCGCGTACAGCATCGCCAGGCGCAGTTTGTCCGGCGCCTTTATCCTGCGCGCAAAAAGATACCAGACGGGGACGTTGGTTGTATTGCATGATGTGCAACAAGAACGCTGGGTCCGGAGTTCTTGTCAAGCCCCCGTGGGCGGACGTACCTCGAACTGGTGAGCTTCTCCATAAGCTCGCGGTAGTGCAATACGTGGTCGTCTGCACACGCCAGCTCTTGCTCGAATTGGCTGACGTCCAGAAGGTGATAGACGTCTACGAGGCGAGCCAGCTCGCTCAAGACAGCCACGTGCTTGGACACGTTGAGTGACTGCGACCGGAAAGCAGGATACCTGTGGCACAGAGAATCATGGTTGCAGTGGCGGGCGTGCCACCCGTGTTTCGCGTGGAGCAAGGACTGTCAAGAGTTGTGGCCATCCATCACAATTGCATCGCTTTCAGAGAGCAAAAAACACAATCAAGCCCAACTCGATACATCGGCAACGTGGGCACCCAGGTATCATGTCATTGCCAGCACCGAAACATATGTGGGCGACAGTACTACCCTGAGCCAATCAGTAAGAGCTTCAACAGCTTCAGTCAAAAAATTACCGCTCGAGAAACGCCTGCATGTCTTCAATGCTGTTGATGTTTTCGTTCAATCGCGTCGCCTTCTGATACTCATCCATCAGATTTTTCACCGCCACTCCCAGATCTCCGAAGTTCGAGAAGCGGTTTTTCGCGAAGAAGTCGTCCTGTGTGCAGGAAAGAACTACCTGCGCGTCAAGGCAAAAACGCAAAACAGATTGGGCCAGTCAGGATAAACGCCGGAGTTAGAGTGGCCACAATACATGCAGCTACAGACGACGATTGTAGCATATCTTGAAGCCACAGCGAAGACACCGCCTCAAGAATCCCATCACGCATCACCTCTTCAAGATCTTTCCGCACTCCCGGTGCCCCCTTGAGAACCACCCGGTTGTCGTTGAGCCCCAAGAGCTCGTGAACCATCGCTTGGTATGTCCATTGCGAAAGTAACGGAGTCACTGGGTCGTCACGTCGATCCAAGATCAGCAAGACGGGTCTGCTCGAAGAAAGTGCACACGAAATTGGGAAATACAACACGCATCTCAGTGCACACTTGTTTTTGCTCGAAAAGATTCCTGTGCCACCTCGAGCATAATAATTGCTACCATGCAGTCGGGGACTTCTTTCTTTACTCGAGCACCGCTCACGCCACCATTTATCAACGAAAACCAGCTTACCCTTGCTGTCTTCGAAAGTCGAAGATCTGATCGGCCTGAATCTGAGCTGAGATATCCATGGCCAGCTCGCGGGCGGTCGAGGACGAACCCTGAACGGTACAATGGTGCAGGAGCAAACAGCGAAAAGGCGCAAACAACATCCCAAGAGGTCAAGCAGGCATTGCCCACGGAGGGGTACGGTGAAGAGATTATAGGCACTTTGACCATCGCCTGATTCTCAACGAGCTCCACTGGTACTTTACCATGCACTCACACTTTACTGTTCAACACTGCTTTAGATGTGGATCAATCTCATTGTCTGTCTTGAGTGCCCCTGACTGCCGTCGTCTTCAAAAAACGCCACGTCCGTTGAATGTGGTATTGGACGAATTTCGATTTCCTCCCTGGAAGATCGCAGCGAGACGATACAGTAGTCAAGGAGGAGTCACGAAACCTAACAGCAGTACCACCGTCGCTTTGTCTCTGGCTCTCACCGCATATCTGATGGTAGACGGCTTCTTCTTGAGCGCGAGAAGCACCGACAGAACAGCATCTCTGTTGCGCGAGAGGAGCGTCTTGGCAGCTGCAGGGGGCCTGGGCAAGGCTAGCTGTAGAGCATCCGGGCAGTTGGCGGAGAAGAAGTCCTCGTTTACGGCGCAAAACTCCGCGTAGTACTCGTGTACCTGACGAACAACTGGCGTGACCGAACGGCGTTCTCAAGGTTAATGAACCATGCAGGCGGACGACTTGCTCCATGTGGTCTGGCTCCATTGTGTGACACAGACTACATACATGGTATGCTACGCCTCCAAATCCTGTTTTGAAGGATAGGTTAGGTTCACTTGCCGCGGGCCTGACAATCTTGTTTTGACGTCACCAAACACGTGTGTTTTCCAAGTAAAAAGAATACCAGGCATAACAGCAGGGAGTATCTCTCACCTTCGTGCTCGTCAGCAGCGGCCAGCTGCTGTAGTAGTTCATTGGGACAGATACTACAGAAGAATACGTGGTACTCCAAGAACCGCGGTTTGGAGATCTCCGCGCAAAGCGTCTGGATGTTCCCCTTTGTTGGCCGGATGAAGTAAACCGCCTTGAGGTGCTGCATCGGCTCGTGATCCGCATCCATCCTTTCCACCAGATAGACTTCCTTTTCGAGGATTTGCGACTGCGAGTATACCATTGCCACAACTTGGGTTGTCACTGCATCCAGTAGCAGTACCTTCATACCTGCATTTTTCCGCATAGGAGCGAATACGCGCAGAGTCGGGAGAGGGGAGAAAGAGAGAGAGAATAAACGTCAAGATGGAACAAAAACATGAACAATCTGCGGCTAACAAATTTATACTCCCACAGCCAACGACACCCAACTGTATCGAAGTGTCTTTCACCAGGGCAAGAGAGCAAATGCATACCTGATATCTTGGGATCGGAGACAATTTTGTCGACATAGAAGCGTACAGCTGAGGTGACGTTCATGGCCATGTTGCAAAGCACCGAATTGCAAAGCGCGTGCTCTGTTCTCGAGTACCCAGCAGCGGGCGGACGGAAATGCCCAAGCGTGACAGGGAGTCGCGAGAGTAAAACCGTGTGAACCTGATGAGACAGCCTCAGCAGGAAGTTGCACACGACGCGGTTGGCGACCAGAGCGACAGAGCTGCTGTACACGGCGTGGTGTGGTGCAGTCCTCTCCTGTGTCCTGGTTCCGAGTTCAGCTGCTGAGTTCCGGTGCATCGAGCGGCCCCGTGCGGCACAATTTTGGCATGGAGCGTTAGGCGCTTCGCTGAGTACATTTTCAGCGTGCCCCCTCCGCCCCCTCTCATGGCCACACACGCTGCTCCGCCCTCCTTCCCCCTCCGGTAGCTCTACACTTATGTGAGTCACGCCGTTCTATAATGTTTTTTTGGGTGTGGCTGCTACAACAGCGTATTGATTGCGACTGGTTTAATTGCTCATGTTCACGAACCAGGCACACCGTGACCTTGGGTGTTATCCAACCCTCAGCCATGTAGCCAAGACGCAGCAATGCACCGTTTGGAAGTGGTGTCCGGTCTGATGTTGTGAGAGTCTACCTGAAAAGGCGAACACAACGCTACCCTCCGAGGATCTTGAGGCACTGCGGGACATATGTTGAAGCTTTGAGCACATGCTGTGACTGATCTCTTGCTTGGTGTGATGACTTCTCAGCAACCAAAACACGAGGAGACGGCAGCAGCACCTGAGCAACGTGCTATAGCATATGGGGCTGTTGCCGCTGTAATTTGGCTTGGTCGTACGGAATGAAGCAATGGCGTGTGTTTCGCCCGGTGCTGCGGCCGTGCCCACCCTACTTGTAGACCCAGCCCATGCCGCCTGTATTCTTGCGCATCAATATGCGGTTGTGTTATCAACTGGCAAGCACCGTGGCTTGAAAGCTTTTCTGCGTGAGCCACTCTCTGCCCGCTCTCTGCTCGCTCTCTGCGTTAGCAACACAGATGTTTTGGGTGTGGATTATGTTCCAAGTTGGTACCTGTGACCCTATCAGAAAGCTCGTGCAATCACGGTTCTTTGACGACGTTTCTCTCTATGTATTGAACAGTAGTGCATCGCATTTGCAAAGTGTCGCGACGCTCTTGAAAAGTTGGAAAAATCAGAATATCGAGATGATGCGGGGGCGTGTCTGGCTCCTATCGAAAGTCGCCTTGGCGGCAAAACCCGCCACCACTGCAGGCGCGGGCCCTGACCCTGAGCATGTGTAAAGACGCGGTGATGCGATCGTTTGGTATGTACCTAAGGTTGTACTGTACAAGGATATTTCGGTATTGTACTCTGTCGCCCGTGATCAAATTGTCAACTCACATACAGAGCGGGCTGACAACAGTGAACTGACAACTGTGGCCTGATGGGCTTGGCTACGTCAGCAGGTAGTTTCCAGGAAGAGATTCACCGCCATGGTTTCATGCTTGTATTTACGGAACTGTCAGGAAACAAATAAATGATACCGCGGCGAACCAACCAATTATTGAAAGATTTCGTCAGCGAGCTAGGGACCATTTGTAACTGTGTGCAAGACGGCAGCAACCGGTAGGGGTCACTGGGCAGTGCGGCAGGGCGAAAGCGTCCGTTCACGCTCGGAAGCCCTCCAAAGTTTTTGACTTCGAATCAAAAGTGCGATGAAGCAAAAGCAGCTCCAAATTCCGCGACCAAAATGTTTCCCTGCGGATCGTGTTAAAATCGCACAGCTGCAGCAGCAGTAAAGTGTCCAGAATATTACGGTATCCCAAACAATCATTCCCATATCGCTGTGTAGCCCTGTCACGGCAAGACTTGACATCACGTGGCGCGTGTTTTACCTGGTTGAACTCTGGTACGTGACCACGACCCGACCCGTCGATAGTTGTTCGGCGATTGTCAGCACTTTTATGGCTGCCCTGCCCGATCATAATCTCATGCATTTTGGATGCCGTTGGCATCATGGACGCCGCCTTAATTTTTGTGGATTTGTCTCGTGTGCTCCGCCGTTTTCAGTAACCATGGGTTCCAAGGCTTTGGTTAACTCGCACCCGAAGAACTTCGGCAAAGGTGGACGCCACTGCCGCGTGTGCTCCAACCAGCACGGGTTGATCCGCAAGTACGGACTCTACATGTGCCGTCAGTGCTTCCGCGTACACGCGACTGACATTGGATTCACCAAGGTTAGTAGCCAACCAACTCTGTTCCATGTTTCCGATGTACTCCGTGGCAGGTACCTGTGTAGAGCATTGGTTCTGTGTGACGTGAGAGGTATCAATTTTTGGTCCGGACGGGTGCGTGGTGACCGATACTCGGACATTCATGTCCTGGGGTGGCGTGCTTGCGACAAAGTTTCAGTCTGTCAAGTTAGCATGATGAGAAACTCTCGAGACGTGTACGCCGGGCCTCACTCACTTGAGAGGTGGACATAGGTGTGCAGTTTGCATGAAGTGCAGCTTCGGCTGCAATAGCCAACAGCGTTGTTCGAACCTTCGGTATATGTAGCTCCAAGCACGCTCTTGACCATCATATAGGATGTTGGGTTTGTTGCATCGAAACAGCCCGATATGATGCGTTTTTGATGATTAGGCAGAGGTGCATTTGCTCTATTGCGCCAGCGATTCCCTTGTAGCAATTGGGTAAAAATCGCAAATGAGTATGACATGGTCCTAGCATCTCTCACAATACGTCGTGCACTTGTTCGAAGATTCCTCGAACCAACCACGCATGATCCAGTAACACATGGTACTTCTGCCACAGATCAGAAATCTCGTGCGGTGTACCATCCAACCACATGCTCTTTTCGCGCAATGTGGTTAGACTCGAAACGTTCGGGGAACTTGCCATACAAAAGCGCGTGTACTTCAGCTGCGTGTACTGATGAAACGACGTTCGTTCCTATTGCTTGGTACTCTCTGAACCCTGGACCCTCTTTTCTCCTCCGTTGCCCGTTCGGTGTATCGCAGTTCTCGTAGGTTGCGCTACAGCTTGGGAAAGGAGTTTGTAGCCACGGCAGTGGCTAGTAGCGGCTGAGAGATCCAATGGCGAGGGTGCATTGGGTGGCGGCTGCACTGATGTAATCAATCCATTGGTTCTTTTTAAACAGTTTTTTTTGTTCAAGCGCGGTAGCGCACTATGCTGGCGTTTCGTGGGAGTGCACACGTGGGAATGTGAATCATGCATCTCCTCGAAAACCTCTGGGCAAAGTTTACCGATGCTCCCGACACCTCAAACACAATCGGTGGTGAGCAACTGCTGTTGTGTATCATTGCTCAGCTGCCAGCAAGCATCATACAAGCGTCCGCCATTCCCAATTGGTTAATTTGGCGCTCTGGCCCTGTGTGCTGCCCCACTTTTGCACAACAGGTTCTGTGTGGTTTGGCGCTTGCGGTCACGCGATTGACGACACAACAACAGCTTGAGTGACGTCCTTAATTAACGAGGCTCACCCCCTAACGGCACGAAATATGTTATTATAATAATATACTCGACGCTTCAACCTCACGCACACAAGCGCACGGTGACGCCCTTAGTTAACGAGGCACACCCCCTAACGACACGAAAGAGATATATATTTTCGACGCTTCAACCTCACGCACACAAGCGCACGGTGACGCCCTTAGTTAACGAGGCACACCCCCTAACGACACGAAAGAGATATATATTTTCGACGCTTCAACCTCACGCACACAAGCGCACGGTGACGCCCTTAGTTAACGAGGCACACCCCCTAACGACACGAAAGAGATATATATTTTCGACGCTTCAACCTCACGCACAAACGCGCACGATCTCATGTCCTGTTGACATTTGCTCACACATCCAAGCAACCGGAGCGACCGTGTGATGCGATGCATTTTGCCCCGATTAGACGTGCCTCGTCATGGGCCCAAGAGCGCAACAAGACCACACGACACCACACGACAGATGCCCCTACACACCGAACGATTTTCCACAGCCGCAAGAACTCTCGGCGTTCGGGTTTTGGAACTGAAATCCACCCCCAATGAGGGCATCGCTGAAGTCCAGTTCGAGGCCGTACAAATAGAGCACGCTTTTCGGGTCGATGACGCACTTGAAGCCATCATATTCCTCCACCATATCATCCTCTGTGATCTCCTCCTGTTGGACCAAGAAGCATTGCGAACGGCGGCAACTCGTCTTATGAGGTATGCACGGAGCGTCAACGCTTTTTATTGTCGAACAGATAACCTCCACGAAGTTCTTGTCAGGCAAACGTGTGTTGCGTCCGCAGACCATCAACGCACGAAAGATGGACTTCGGGGCGCTCTGTGCTCAGAATGGATAGTGTGATTCGGTAATATATCAAGACACATTTTGACATCGTATTCACTGACGTCAAGGATCGTCGCAGGAAGGCGGAGATAAAACAAAATCCTGTGCGGCAATTCTCCTGTGCCACCTCGCCAAAGGTGTTTCACGTACGTCCAGCACAAATGGATACACTTGAAGACATGATCCCCGGAGCGTCAACAGTAAGTCAAACTCAACACGACGGAAGCTGTTGCCGTTCAGTGGCAACCCTGGCCTTACCTTCTTGACCAAGTCCATAATGTAGGACAAACCCGAACAGCCCCCAGACCGAACTCCCATCCTCAAAAATATGTCCCCCTCGGTTCCTTGACTTCGCCGAAGCTCTTGCAGATGGTCCATTGCCTTTGGGCGGATGTTGACGATCTTTTCCATCACTTCATCTCCAACCCCTTTAGTCACGGCAAACACGACACCAATATATTGCAACAAAGAGCGAAGGGCTAAAGTTTAGTTGGGGCGTATGCATCAGCGGGTAACAAACAGGCTGCTGTCCGCTACCAGAGTGTCCAACGTGCATTTCAAGCATATCTACACCTCGAAGGATGACGTGCCTTTCTTTCGTCGTCGGTGGCCCGTTTTGTGTTTTATTGTTTTTGTGTTGTCTTGTTTGATTATCGCTACGTTAGTGGCTCTGGCGTGTGTCTTTCTCTTTCCCGTTCTCTTTCCCCTTCTGTTCTTTCTCCTTTTGTTTTCCTTTTTCCAGTCTATGACTACCTCGCATAGCCTTCAGAGGCGATCGGAGTTTCCTAGACTATCTGTCGTCGATTTCTACCGTTGTTACTTGCGGACCCTCGGGATCCATTTCATTTTCGTATACCCTTTTTGGGATAATTAGCCTGTGGCCACGGGAATCGACCGCGCCAAGTGTTAGACCAGTGCG